GGAATTACTGTAGAACAAGTAAAAATATCAAGACAATAAAACAATCGCAGGCCTGTGTTATTACGAGTTGTTGTTCATGTGTTAAATAACTAAATACTTTCATACCGGTCTTTAGAGATTTGGTGTTTCTGTCACACGTAGATTAATGCACTCCGTAAGCTTATTTTAAAAAGTTTCTGTCGACTTATACAGAGAATACAACAATATGATTTTTTGTTTTATTTAACTGACTACACTAACTGGAGAAGAGAACGTTTTTCCTTTGGCTTGCTTTTATTGATATTTCTGTTGACCTAGAATGAAGTCAATATTTCAAGAACTTCTCTAACAACTCATTTAATCTAGGAAAGCTGTTTTGGTGTCTGTTTCTATAAATACCTCAAATACACAACGAAATACATATAACTTATATACAAGTTACATATGTAATTAAGTGAATTTTATGGAAAAAAAACACTAAATGGACTGTTAGGTCCGCAATAACACAACCAGAACACGGTTACAATTTTTTTTTACACATTTTCACTTGCGTGAAGAGGAGAAATGGTAAAACGTAGTCATCATATCTGACCTGTTTAAACACCTGCACCATACCTAATCCTCAAAACTGACTCCATACCCAATATGTTGAAATACCGGCACCATATCTGACCCGGTTAAACACCTGGATCTTACCTGATATTGAGACACTGGTACAGTACCTGATCTCTTGAAACATCGGTATTGTATATAACCTGTTGAAATACCGGCACCATATCTGACTTGTTGAAACATTGGCACCATATCTGACCTGTTGAAACATTGGCACAGTATCTGACCTGTTTAAATACCAGAACCATCCGTAGTCGAAGAATATACTTTTATCGAAAGGTTTTTAATTGCTAGCACACAATCCTTGTGTTATAAAATTTTAAACGACACTGGATGTAAACAGAAGTAGATGAATGTTGCTTTAAGTGTAATCTGTAATTCAATGTAATATATGGTGATATCAATGTACTCTATGGTTTCATATGTTTTTAAACAAAAAATTGTTAAATATAATATTACCAATATTAATCTCGTTTCATGTCTGTTTATATTGATGTTGCAAAAATTTAAATATATCTACAGCAGATGAATAGTTTGTGGTGCAGCATCATAAACTCATTTAAGTAATTTTACATTATTTTACTTCAATATTTATGTCAGATATACCTAACAATATGTTCTTCAAGTCATCAGAAATATATTCTTATCGTCGATTTATTTGGTGCGATATTACCAATAAGATATTATTATTTGTTTAAAACAAATATTAGTTTAAAATCAATTTGACTTTTGGAAATCGATATCCCTTCATTTGCAATTTTTTAAAGTCTTTATGGTCATGTTTTGCTTCAATGTTTCAGGGAAATCATTTGAAAAAATATTTCCACCTGAAATATAGTCATACTAAATATCATGACTAGATGGCAGCACTTATCAATATATTGGATAAGAAATCGTGCAAACTTTTCGTTGAAAGGCTCATTATATACTACATTTTGCGCATGGTGAGTTATGTTTTTGTTTGTTTTAGAACAAAGCCACATTGGGCTATCAGCTGTGTCCACCACGGGTAATCGAACCCCGGATTTTAGCATTGTAACTCCGTAAACTTACCGTTAAGCCATCGGGGGATGTATATGATGAGCTCCACACAGGTGATGAATAGGAAGTATATTTTGGCTTGTCAGAATAAGGATGCTATAAGTGGCAAGAAATAGCTGAGTGAATACAACGTTTTTTTAGTTTCTCTCTCTTTCCTCTATATCATCAATTATATTTATTGGTGCCCTCTGTGGTTTAGCGGTCAGCTTGAGTACTTAAAATGCTAAAATTTTGGATTCGATTCCAGTGATAGGAAAAGTGCAGAAATCTATCAAATGGAGATAATAAATAAATGTGGAGGATAATTCAAGGGCTTCATTACACTACATTAACCCTTGAATTACCGATGTGTTCTTATAGCGATCACCTACGCTAGGGCTGAACATATTACAATATATTGAGTAGTTTTTTTTTATGCTAACTAGTACACTGAGTATAAATAAATTACAAAAGCACTAATTTTATATGTAAAAATGCAAGCAGTGATCAAATACATTATCTGTAGTATTCTTATTTCATTTATGCCCGCCACCCTCCGGTGACTTAGTGGTAAGCTTGAGAGCTTATAATGGTGAAATCCGAAGTTGGATTTCTGCGATGGGCACAGTACATATAGCGCACAATACAACTTTGCGCTTAAAACAAACAAAAACATATTTATGTAACTTATGTGTTATTAGCGATCTTACAATAAAAAAAATGATGAATGAATAGCCTAGAAGAATGTGTTATAAGCCAATGAAGTCTATCTGTAATTCTTGGGTAAAAGAAAATATAATTTAGATCACATCGGTTCTTATAAGTTTACATAGACATTTATATGTAATATTCGCTTCAACGACAAACGCAAACACTTAAATTTGTGATATTTTAATAAGTATATGGATAGAACAATATGAGTCTAAATAAATAAATCAGCGCTGGATTACCAAGTAAACCAACTGTTGAAGTAATTTCTGAAAACAGAGAGTATGATAACACCAAGAACCTATACATGTTTAACTAAATACTTTACATAAAACATACGAGATCTAGCTGTGTAATATTAATTAAGAGACAGAGAGTTGTAATGTATATTTACTATATTTCATATTTTACAAACATTTTTTATCTCATTCTTCCTTTTTCTATAAAATTGAACACTTTGTTTAAGCGTTTTATTGCTGATTAAATGTTTATTGCATATGTGTAGTTTTATTGCTGATTAAGCGTTTATTGTATACGTGTAGCTTTGTTACTGATTAAACGTTTATTGTATATGTGTAGTTTTATTACTGATTAAGCGTTTATTGCATACGTGTAGCTTTGTTACTGATTAAACGTTTATTGCATACGTGTAGCTTTGTTACTGATTAAACGTTTATTGTATATGTGTAGTTTTATTACTGATTAAACGTTTATTGTATACGTGTAGTTTTATTACTGATTAAACGTTTATTGTATACGTGTAGTTTTATTACTGATTAAACGTTTATTGCATACGTGTAGTTTTATTACTGATTAAACGTTTATTGCATACGTGTAGCTTTGTTACAGATTAAACGTTTATTGTATACGTGTAGTTTTAGTTAATGATTTAACGTTTATTGTCTAGGTGTAGTTTTATTACCGATTAAACGTTTATTATATACGTGTAGTTTATTTTATATTGAATATATCTGATGAACGATTATGCAGTAAAAATGTAGTGTTTGTAATATTCTTCACGTCAGATGGATTACACTAACTTTGCACGTATCTTTGCACTTAGCGTTTGTTTACTTAGGGTGTTTGTCTTGGTTACTAGTGTTTGTTGTGGCCACTGTTTTGTTTTCACTTCTTTCTTGGTTACAGTAGTCTTTGAGGGTTAGGCAGAGAACAATGTTCAATGTGATATAAGCTAAGGACAGTAGTCCTTGAGAGCTAGATAGAGAACAATGTTCAATGTGATATAAGCTAAGGACAGAAGTCCTTGAGGGCTGGGCAGAGATCAGTATGTAGTGTGATCTAAGTTAAAGACAGCAGTCCTTAAGGGCCGTGCAGGGGACATTTCCCGTACGACCTGAACTTCACGAGACTATTCGTTGCAGTTATGGTGTGGAAAACATTTCGTTTATAAACGTGCTCAATGATTGTAAAATTTTGCAGAGAACTGTGTTCCATGTCGGCAAAATGTGTTGAGAACTG